AGTTCAGAGATATGCAACTAGTTTAGTACCTGAACTAAGAGGCATGAGTTACGAAGAAAGGCTGCGGGAATGTACCTCACGACACTCGAAGACACAAGAGTAAGGGGAGACATAATCACTACCTACAAAATTCTCAGAGGAATTGACAGGGTAGATAAAGATAAACTGTTTAACACGGGTGGAACACGAACAAGGGGGGACACAGGTGGAAACTTAGTACCCAAGTGAGCCACAGGGACGTTAGAAAGAACTTTTTCAGTGTCAGAGTAGTTAGCGGATGGAATGCATTAGGCAGTGATGTGGTGGAGGCTGCCTCCATACACAGTTTCAAATGTAGATATGATAGAGCACAATAGGCTCAGGAACCTGTACACCAGTTGATTGACAGTTGAGAGGCGGGAACAAAGAGCTAGAGCTCAACCCCCCACAAGCACAATTAGGTGAGTACACACACACACACACGCTAACTGACTGGTGTCTGGTAGCTGAGCAGACAGCGCGCAGGACTCGTAATTCTGTGGCTCGGGTTCGATTCCCGGATCAGAATCTGATCAGGGGGGTAGAAATAGCCTTAGCTACTCTATCCCTTTGAGATTTCTTTCTTTCTTATCTCAATGAACATACTTGAACCAATGGCCAAAGTTTCTTTCATCCTAATGCCCCTGTTACCTAGCAGTAAATAGGTACCTGGGAGTTAGATAGGTGTTACGGAGCTCCTTCCCGGGTGTACTTACCTAATTGTACTTACCTAATTGTGCTTGCGGGGGTTAAGTTTTGGCTCTTTGGTCCCGCCTCTCAACTGTCAATCAACTGGTGTACAGATTCCTGAGCCTACTGGTCTCTATCATATCTACATTTGAAACTGTGTATGGAGTCAGCCTCCACCACATCACTGCCTAATGCATTCCATCCGTTAACTACTCTGACACTGAAAAAGTTCCTTCTAACGTCTCTGTGGCTCATGTGGGTACTCAGTTTCCACTTGTGTCCCCTTGTTCGCGACCCACCAGTGTTGAATAGTTCATCCTTGTTTACCCGGTCGATTCCTCTGAGGATTTTGTAGGTTGTGATCATGTCTCCCCTTACTCTTCTGTCTTCCAGTGTCGTAAGATGCATTTCCCGCAGCCTTTCCTTGTAACTCATGCCTCTTAGTTCTGGGACTAGTCTAGTGGCATACCTTTGGACTTTTTCCAGCTTCGTCTTGTGCTTGACAAGGTACGGGCTCCATGCTGGGGCCGCATACTCCAGGATTGGTCTTACATATGTGGTGTACAAAATTCTGAATTATTCCTTACACAGGTTCCTGAGCCACAGGTTCTTCTGTGGCTCATCTGAGTACTAAGTTTCCACCAATGTTCCCTTGTTCGTGTCCCACCCGTGCTGAAGAGTTTGTCTTTGTCCACCCTGTCAATTCCCCTGAGAATTTTGTAGGTGGTTATCATGTCTCCCCTTACTCTTCTGTTTTCCAGGGATGTGAAGTTCAGCTCCCATAGCCTTTCCTCATAGCTCATTCCTCTCAGTTCCGGGACGAGCCTGGTGGCATACCGCTGAATCTTCTCTAGCTCTGTCTTGTGTTTAACTAGGTATGGACTCCAGGCTGGAGCTGCATACTCCAGGATTGGTCTTACGTAAGTGGTATACAGGGTTCTGAAAGATTCCTTACACAAGTTTCTAAAGGCAGTTCTTATGTTGGCCAGTCTAGCATATGCCGCTGATGATATTCTTTTGATGTGGGCCTCTGGGGACAGGTTCGGTGTGATATCAACCCCCAAATCTTTCTCTCTATTTGACTCTTGTAGGATTTCACCTCCCAGATGATACCTTGTGTTTAGCCTCCT